CTCTAAGATATCCCTCGCTTCTTCTTCAGTTAGCCCTGTACCTGCACCCTCAAGGAAATCGTCCAGCGGCTCCTCCTTGGAGAGATCTACTTCATCTAAGGGGTCTGGAATTTCGGGCATGCCGTGCAAACGAGGAAAGCGATACGAAGCAGCTAGAAAATACTTGAACTTCTTCGGCGCCTTTGACCTACCTTCCGGGTCAACAGCTGGCACCTTCAGAGGTCCACAGACATCCGCAGACAGAGTGAACTGCGAGGGGTGGGTCACACCAACGTGGCGGCGTCCTGAGGCGGCAGTTCTGATGCACACACTACAGTCCTTCCGAAACGGTTGGTGATTATTCTTCACATGATCCCTCCAAGCCTGTTCGTCTGCCTTTGTTTTAGCAATGCGGAACCACCTAGACCAGTTTTGGATGCTCATGCTCACGGCTTGGGCAAAACCAGGGGCCCATCGAGCTGACTCATGGGACTTGCGATGCAAATGAGGCATGCCACTGCTCTCACTCTCAGGCTCTGCAGCGGCTGCCTGCACAGTGACACCACGCAAACCCTTGTCAAGGCTTAGGGTCTCTAGGTACTGCAAATCACCATAGTTCGTGCCTAAGGTCGTAGGCCTACTTATCACATGCTCTAAATCCCCCTTGTAGACATGAACTTCAAACAACCCTGCTTCATCGGCATAGGAATTCCAAAGTCCAGTATTCCAAAAACTAGGGACCTGACCAAACAAGGCATGCGAAGGAGGCACGTAGCGATCAATAAGCATCGGGTGCTCAAGCAGAAAGCCAACCTCAAGCCTAGTAACTCCAGCTGGCGGCCTAACCTTGCGACCTGCCGTCGCCACAGCATGCAACCAAATCTGTCGGCAAAGCAAAGCCGTTTCACGATCAACCTTCGACCGTTGTGCTGCTGACAAATCTGGAAGGCCATATAAGTCCAATGGCCCGCGCACAGGTGGGACAACGCTACTCCCATGAGCATGTGTGTCAAACGTACCACGCGGTGGAGCACCAAGAAGATGCGACACTTTGCCATGCACGGCACCCCAAACTAGAGCGCGCCAAGCAGGAGTGCGTAGCACATCTTGGTCTGAGCCTCTGGTAATGTCCAATTCCAGAACAGCCACATTCTTGGACTCAAGGTGCGAAAAGGGTTTAGGGCCTGGGGCTCCAGCGTACAGATGAACAATCCACTCTGGGGCATTGAGCAATGCACGACGGCGACGCCGATTGAGATGCGTCAAACCCTTTAGGAGCTCCCATCCTGAAACCTGAGCAACATCCTCAACAAGTCCCTGCAAAGCTGCTTGGGGAACATCTGCCAAGAAAGGCGCGGCCTGCAACGCTAGTTGGGCTGAATTGGTAGATCCAAGGCTCACATAGTCCTGCATGTGATCCCACCAGCTCTTTGACATCAAGGCTTTGACAGCTCGGATGCGAGAGGTACCTTCGGCCACATTCGCCTCCAGAGACTTCAAGTCCTCTAGCCGCTTTTCTTCTAGCTTGCTGATTAGCACCAAGGCTTCTGATTCCATGATCTCTGGACACCCACCTTTAACCCTCAAGCGAAAGGCACGACCCGAAGGAGCAATCAAACGGCATCGCGAGGCAGTCCAATCCAAACGATACCCCAGCTGCTGGATGACAGAACCCAGCGGCACGATGGTTTGGGCACTAGATGTGGGAGGCAACAGAAGAGTACCAGCAGCAGACAAACGCATAGCCGAAGTCTCCTTTCCAGCCAGTGACACGACAACGGGTTGCGCACTAGCCCATTCAGCTTCGGAACTTGCAGCGCGAAGGGCATGAGTGGCCCCACTGTCTACCAAAGCCAAAAAACTAGGACTACCATCTACTTCCAAAACCTGCCCAGGCTCAATGGCTGTGAGATGGATGGTCTTAATGCTCGCTTTAGGCTCCTCCTGTGCTGCAGGTTTGTCTTCAATCGCCGGAGGCTGCGCGGGAGCGGCTGGGGTGGATGCAGGAGGAAATGCTTCGGAAGAACTGGCAGCTGCAAACATCATGCGCATAAACGCTGTGAAGTCCTCCGCTCGGCCTGGGCTCGCGCCCGGCTGGATTGCAGTAGACGCCTGATCAGCCGTTGTAGGCCTGTGGCCTGCAGCATTGTTGGTGTCTCCTCCACCTGGCTGTCCTTTCCCCTTTGGGCTTCCTCCAGCTACCGGGCAGTCCTTTTGGCGGTGTGCCTCAGAGCCACATGCTAAGCACTTTTTGCTGCGCTCCTGACGAGAAAGTCCTGACATGTCGTGGCTAAACGTGCACTTAGGACCCCGCCTACACCCCGAAGTACCCATGAAAAACTTGCAGGGCTTTGAAGCCTGCGGCTGCCCACTGGCCTTTGGAGATGTTCCCGGACTGGGCGTGCCTACAGCTCGAACCTTAGGGGCACTCACACCTGTGGCCTTAGAGACTGCAAGGGCTTCCATCTCTGCAAGCAAGTGCTTGTGGTACTCCAGGACTGCAGACGAAGTTGGTTGAGCATCCATTTTTAACATGGAACGAAGCATAAACGTTCGAAACTTCGCTTCTTCATGCTGCGCCAAAACTTGGCTAGTGATGGTAGTGAGGCTCTTGGACAAAATGGTCGAGTCCGGAGGTGACATGTTGCAACTTTCACAGCGATTGTACCAACGAATCCACTCACGCAAAGACTTCACGGCTGAGGAGGGATCAGATGCTGGAGTGGGCTGCATGAGATTCTTCTGAATAACCTCCTTTTCTGAACCTCCACCTGGTTGGTACGTGGTGTGCAAACGGAAAAGGATGGAAGGAGCTGATTGATTGCATTTGCGGGCCACAATGTCTGCTTTGATAGACTCTGGAACTGCCGCCATAAGCATACTACAGATCCTAAAGTTGACACGCGCCCATCGCCCTTGAAGCAACTCAGCCGGTACAACTGGCTCAACCTTTAGCCTATCCAAGGGTGATGACGAAATCCAAACCCCATAGGCCGTATCAACCACACCCAAAACCTGACGCCACCACTCTGCTGCTGTGTCCGAAACATCACCGACCAAACCCCCAATCACGACTAACCAATCTTGGTACAGAAGAGACCCTTCATCCGAAGTGAGCTCTGCCAAAGCTGGGAAACTCGAGATGCCTGGCTTAACAGCTTCAGGGTTGGTGGGAGAATTGCCGCCATCGCGTTCGGCACGAGATCCCTTGAGCATCTCTGACATGGCATCTTGAAGTTGATGCATCCCAGCAATCAGTATCTCACGATCTGTGGGTCCTGATGCACTCGCGGCTCCTGCTGGCAGTGTGCCTCTGGGTTCTGCTTGTGGCCTCTGCGGTGCAGGGCTGGAAGACCGCGCACCGGAACCAAGGAGCCCTGAGAACAAACCAGCGAAGCCCTGAGGCTCGGGAGCGGAAGGAGGCGGAGGAGGAGGCGGTGAGGATGAAGAAGGGGCAAATCCAACCCCAGTGTTGGCGACAGGATGCGAACCGAACCCACTATCACCAAACCCACTAAAGCCAACCTCCCTAGTACCCACCTGCTGCAACGCCGTAGCCTCAACTTCACCAGCCTGCTGAGACCGAATCCTCGAGAGTTCGGCCTCAGCACGACCAGCTCTCTCTTGCTCAGCTCGCAGTTGCTGCTTCAACCCATCAAGCTGTCGCGCGACTTCTGCCTGAATCGCATCATGCGGAATAGATGAGGACTCGGTGTGCGGAGGCCTGTCCGGAGACCCGGACCCGTAGAGCAAGGGAGCTCTTTGCTCCATGGCAGCAAGCTGCTGCGCGTTGGCACCAGTGAACAACGGCATCGGCACTTGACACTCATCTTGCAGGACGCGGCCTCCTCTCTCGAGGGGCTGTAGTGGTCGCGACGGCCTTGGAGGAGAAGTCAGTGGACTGGGAGCCCACCCTTGCGGCAGTGGCTGTACGTTCGCCGCGCCACCAAACAGAGACTGCACTCTTCCTAGCAACTGACTAGCAAAAGCCTGAGCCCCAGTCTGCATGACCGCTGACGCCCCGTACGCCGTTGATCTGGGCGTTTCAAAGCCCTCAGCACTACTTCCAGGATTCGCTGCAGATGGGTTGTACCCTGAGACGCCTGCGGCAACATTGATCTGAGCGCTAGCCATTCCACTTTCGGTGGCCACACTGAAACCCTGAGTCACTGCAGTTGCATCTCCATGCACCCCACTCGCATCAGCGACCTCCGTGGTAGATACTGCTTCATACGTAACGCCAGCTGTGCCCAAGCCTCCAACCTGGCCTAGTGTTCCATCGCCTCCTGTCCTACCGACTGCTGAAACTCTCGGTTGACCGGCTGTTCCAACAGTTTCTTGTGGCAGCTGAGGGGATAGCACTGGACCAGCTGTGGAAGTCGATGGCCCCGACGACGCATCCATCATAGTTTGCTGGATTCCATCCCCAATAGGCTGCGCAAGCCCAGAGGGCGATGGCACTCCAACTCCGTTCACTGTAGTCTGCGGTGCATCCCCGCCTCCCCGCACTCCAGGCAGAGAGGCCGGAGAAGCCACCGCTCCGGTTGCTTCTGGCCCAGGCGTTGGGCTCATCACCTGTTGAAGGTGTTCACCCTGGGTGGCCATACCCTGCAGCGAAGCTCACGCAGAATGTTTTCTATGGCTGGGCGCAGAGGCGACTCACGATCTCAACGAAGCAACAAGAGAACCGACAAACCAACAAACGACCTGTACAGCTTTACAAGTTGTTGGTTACAGTACACATGGCTCAAGAGGCTTTCCTACGCAGCCTTCCCCTTGAGCCAAAGGATACAGGAAACACACATGTACAAGCCTACCTGAAGGAAACTATACAAGTGCCGGCAATCCCTTCAAGCAGACTACACACCTGTCTAACCTGATACCTGGGCATGCAGTGAGAAGCATTTCAACAGAATCCCTTAAAGGTACCCTTATAGATCCCTGTAAAGGAACCCTAGGATTTATATCAACCGTTGCTACTGTTTGAGTGGAATGCACGAAAATCCATCTGAGGCGACGGCAGCCCGAGGACTGCGGTGCCCTGAGTGCTTTGGGCGTTTGGGCTTTGGGGGTTTAGGGGTTTAGGGCTTTAGGGGTTTTGGGGGTTTGGGGGTTTAGGGGTTTAGGGTTTTGGGGTTTACGAGTTCACGGGCTTAGAGGTTAGGTTAGGGTTTAGAGGTTTAGGCGTTTAGGGGTTCTGAGCGTATCCAGAGTTTTTTCTCCCTCCTACCTTAGGCTTTGGGGGTTCAGTGCCTCAGTGCTCAGAGTTGAGGGTCTTCAACATGCGCTCGAATGAGAGATGCCGCACCAATTTCTCGTTGATGCTATGCAATCCGGACATTCAAATTGCTCTACCTGCCAAAGCCAGAAATTTCGCATTGACTTCCGAAGGAAGAAAAGTCAGCTGCAGCCTCATTGCATTCAGCGTTTAGTCTTAATCCGCTATTGGTTCTCGAAGTGCAATCAAGCCTCATTGGAGGTGCCATTGGCGTGGTGCCCGACATCGTGTGTGTCTGGTGGTTGAGGTAGGCTGTCACGCAGGTCTTGTGCAGCAGGTGTCCACAAGGCATGCGGCAGATGTCCTGGCGGTGCGGGATTACCGAGCATGCACCACAGAATCACGAGTTGCGATGCCCAGAAGGAGGGCAGCTGATACTCCTAAGAGCAGAACTTACCTTTGGTTAGTAGGGAATGGAGGAGTGGGCTACCATTAAACCTACCATTCTGCCATTCCCTACTAACCAAAGGTAAGAAAAGCCCCCCTATATTATAGTACCCTTATAGTATCCCTTACAGACCCCTTTCTAAGCCCTAAGCAGAGCTCCTCCTCCCTGTCTTCATCAAGCTCGGCCAAGCATATTGCACAAATCTCCCCCTTCTCGGCCGACGTGGAGTCAACTCTTCTGATCTCGCCTCCATCATCACACTGTGCAGTATGAATAGAAATAGTAACAATAGTCGAAATAAAACCGTAACAAGAATAGTAACAGTAGCGATAGGAAAGTAGTCAGTACGTAAAATGCACACCCGCGGGAGCCACTTCTCTGCCGGGCTGCTTGAGATCACATTGAGGTTGTTGCTCTTGCCATCTTCCCTCCAAGCGAAGGCGACCGTGATCCTGAGCTGCTGAAACCTGCGTCCTTCCCGTCAATGGAGTCATCGCCGTCTTAAGCCCAATGCAAAAACCCACAGAGAGGGAAAACCAACCAACACGTGGTGGCATAATTCTATGCGGACCCGAACTTGTTGAACTGTGGCTGTCGAATAACCAGGCGGTGACACTGAGAATTAGAGCTTGCAACATGCAAGGATTATTTCACTTGCAAGTAATGGTGCTGGCACCGCTGTCATGACCCTCCCTTACTCTACGGACTGCAGAATCTTGTCATTCATACTGCTCTGGCCGCCCTGAACCCCTCCAGCTTCCTAGTGGAGGCTCGCCTTTTAAATCACATAGTAGGGAGTGCAGAACCCGAAAGTTGCTAAGGACTAGGTAAGAAAACCTGAACCCGAAACCCTAAACCCCTAAACTCTGAATCCCTAGGCCCTAAACCCTAGAACCTAAACCCCAAAACCTAAACCCCTCTTCCAGCCGAGGCATCCTGCTCAAATCTTGCCCGGACGGTCCGATCACGGTACCGAGGATGTTGGCGCGGACGACCACCTTGCCGCCCACACCTTTGGGCTTCAGGCAGTCAAGCAAGTTGTTCAGGGTCTGTAATAGAGTCTGTAAGGGCTAGGTACTACAAGGGCTGCCATAAGGCTACTGTGAGAGCTAAACGGAAGGGAACGAAAAGGCTTCTGCTCTCTTTGCTTTCCTCAGCCTGAGAAGAGGGCGACACAGGCCACAACAACTTGGAGTTTGCGTCGATATAGTTCCGTGAAGGACTCCCCGAGTACTCGTACTATCATGCTGGCCACCAGCTGACATCTCACCCACCACATGGCCGGTAAATCCCTTGAAGGGGCCCTCTTAACCACATTGCCATACGAGACCCGGCAATTAAGTAATGAGTACTCACGGCTCCATCTCGCCGACACGGAAAAATCTGTCCCCCGAATCACTCGTTTCGATGATGCCGGGCTGCGCAAATCCCGCGTTGCCGCGACGGCATCGCCTGGACAGAGCAATAATGACGACGTGATGGCAGCCGATGCACAAGCTTAAAGACCAAAGAAAGGCTTCACCACCTTACAAAAGCTGAAAGACTCCAGAAAAGCTTGAAGACCCTACAAAAGCTTAAAAACCCCTGAACCCCTGTTCGCGTCTTGACATCCTCAACCTTCAATCCTAGCCCTAAGCCCCTAAAGCCCCAAACCCCAAACCCTAAACCTTCAAAGCCCCGAAACCCTAAACCACTGAATCCATTAAAGCCCCTAACCCTAAACCCTTGAAACCTTAAACCCCTGAAACCCTAAACCCCAAACCCTCAATCCTAACCCTAAACTCCCCCTGAACCCGAAATTCCCCCAAACCCAACCCTAAATTCCCTGAACCCGAAATTCCCCCCAAAAGGGCCTCGGTAGTAGCCGCCAGCAAGGGCCGGCCCAGGATCTTCCGTGTCATCTTCCTGGTGTCTCTTTTCCCCGAAAGAAAGGGATGTGCAGTGGTGGTTCAGGGTCCTTTTGCGGTGGTGGTGGATGGATTTTGGGGTTGAGGGGTTTAAAGGTTTAAGGGGTTTTCGGGGTTTAGGGGTTTTTGGGGTTTAGGGTTTTTGGTGTTTAGCGCTTTAGGGGTGTAGCGTTCTGGGGTTTGAGGACTCGGGGTTCAGGGGTTGAGGGTGGTTTTTAGGGGTTTTAGGGTTAGGGGTTTAAGGGTTTAGAGTTTGAGGTTGAGGGTTTCAGGGGTTTGGGGCGTAGGGACTAGACATCATTACTCATTGCGGCTTCCTGGGAGATCCAAGAGGGTGGAAAAGCGAAAGAAGGGTGGGGTCCCGAGCTGAAGGCTTGGGGCTCAGGGCCTAGCGTTTGTAGGGCTTAGGGTGCAGAAGGTGGGTTGTGCTTTGGGTTCTGGACCATTGGGTGTAGGATGTCTCTTCCTTTTTGCAGTTCTATGGCAACGAAATGATGGAAGGGGCGGGCGGAGAGGAAGGAGGAGAAGGAGCAAAGCTGCCTTTAGCAGAAGCGTTCGAAGCTCGTAGTTGTGGGGTTTACGCTCGCATGCCCGGACAAGCCTTATGAGAGTATTGCATGCAAGGGCTTCAGTCGTTCAGGCTTCAGGTTTAGGGCATTGGGGCCTTTTTTGGTACACTTTGGGGGGTTTAGGGTTTAGGTTTCCAGACCTTCTGAAGGTGCTGCCTGGCCTTGTCTGGCTGAAGTGCGTCGTCCACGTCCTCTGCCACAGCACTGAGGACTTTCAAATCCTCCGGCTCGACGTGGAGGACCTGAGACAATAACATTGATGTCATTAATGCCGCAGTAATGCAGTCAGAGCAATAGCACCAGTCGTCCTCATCGCAACATCATAAGATATAACAAAGCACAGTAGTAAAACTTTTGAAAGTAATCGCAAAAATAACAAGAACAAAAAGGACCCAAAACCCTAAACCCCACAACCCTCAACCCCAAACCCTCAACAACTACACTCCCTAAATCCCATAACACCGACCCCAATAAGAAGCGTAAGAGCTCAAGGGAGCCCTGGGGCCTTCGAAGAGCAGGGATTTGGGTTCTTCCGGCCTTAAGGGGTGCTTTGCCTCGGCCCAAAAAGTGTTTTTTTGACACTCACACTCGGACAAGCCTGGCAAGGTCTGCAAAATTAGATTCAACATAACTACATCCAAAAAGTGTTTAGGGTTTAGGGGGATAGGGGTTTGGGGTCTAGGGTTTAGAGGTTTCGGCGCTCACACTCGGACAATCCAGGCGAGGCATGTGGTTCGAGGTCTGACAGTGTGAAACGAAAATGGATCAGCCAAAGACGATTTACGGATTTAGGGTTTAGGGTTTTAGGGTTCAGGGCTTAGGGGTTTAGGCTCTAACACCTTAAATCCTAAACCCCGCTGGTTAAGACAGAGGCTGCAGCTGGGGGATTGGAGGCTGGGCCTTGTGACTCCATGGCATAGCTCTACACCCCTCGAACCCTGAACCCCAACCAAAAACCCTGAAGCCCTGAAAGTACAGCTGACCATAGTATGGCAATAAACTATAATAGTCTAGTCTAGTCTAGTGCATAGTAGAGTGTATAGTATGTGGTACGGTATAAGCATCGCATTGCGTAGCATAGTACGAGTATAGTATAATAGTGTCGTAGAATGTAGTTTCGCATCGTTTAGTATAGTTTAGGACAGTAAAGTTTAGCAAAGTTTAGTAAAGCCCTGAACCCAATCCTGAGGAATTCGAGGCGAAGCCGCAACGTCCTCGCCTCCCTCCTTGTCGCCGCTGCTCTCTTGCGAGCTGAAGCGAACCGCCACGCGGCTTGATTGCGAGCAAGAGGGACCAACGACTACACCCTGGGCACCTGAGAACAGAGGAAGACTGTGATGTAAAAGGGCTTTAGGGATTTAGGGCTTTCGGGATTTCCGGTTCAGGGCTGTGGGTGGCAAGAGGTTGGGTAGAGGCTGAGGGTCAAGGCTCAAGTTTGAGCCTTTGACTGTGGAAATCAACCGCTCGCCCTTCTCGCAACCCGGAAGCAGACAAGGCTGTTCTTGTTTGCGCCTTGAAGGGCCCAGCCTAAAGAAGTACCAATGCTATTTTAGGGGCTCCTTATTATAAATATGGTATGATGTAACTGTACCCTGAACTAAATATTAGGGCCCAGGATCTTTCTTCATAAGCTTGGTCAACAGATCGGCTCTAAGGCATAAGGTTCAGTGCTCTTGCGGTCTTACCATTCAAACATATGCATGATTCTTCAGCGCACTATGGTTTGGGGTTTAGTGCTTTAACGCTTGAGGCATAAGGGTTTGGGTTTTAAGTTTGGGTTTCGGGCTGGGGGTTTCTTACTTTCGGGCAATCCGGAAGAGTCTCCTAGCAGACACAAAATCAATGAGGCTTTCTTTAGCTCTTTTAGGATTATCTGGGCTTATGGTGAAACCCTAAACCAGGGTGCATGGCAAGAGACTCGAGAGAGCCCTAAACTCCTTGGAAACATCCAACTCAAGCAAGGACATTGCGAGAAGTAGTGGCGCAATACGAGTCATAACGAGCATATACGAGTATTGCATACCGCTAGGTACTGACTTGTCACTTAATCGTTGAGTAGTGCGTACTAAAGTGGTTCCGGCAAGAACCGGAACGCCAGACATCATGCTAAGTGGCAACACTGAACAGTGAAGCATTCCCTCATCCCATCCCGCCTTTGGGCACCACAAGTAGTTGGCGCAAAGCTGCGACTCGGTCACCAGGAACTAAGCCACCCGTGCACGGCATGTGCTGGATTTCTGCTGGAACCACGTTCCTCAGCGCCAGTCAGGGTTGCAAATCGGACACTCCAAGCGAGGCAGATACAATGCGCTAGCAAGCGGGTCTTCGACCAAACATTTATCAACCCCGTGTGGCCCTCCCAGCCGCTCTTGAAGTTGAAATCTCGTTTCATGCTTTTGCATTCCACGACGTGGCGGGTAGCTCTGCGCAGCTGAAAAGATTCGTGGGATGTCTAGGGTAATGTATGGAGCCTGAATAATTAGATTAGACAGGGGTTTGCGGTCGGTTATGTACAACTACAATCAGCGGCCCTAGGGACTAATCTTGGCAGTTGTTCTCAGAGGGTGCATGAGGGCCCCGGGCAACGGGGACCCCCTCAATCTTCCAACTTTAGAAGAAACTAGCTCATGGATGATATTGAGTGCCGACAGACCCCCATTGGGGACAAGTGTGTCCCTATCGGTGCCTATTACAGACTATCGGGAGCCACTGGGAGAGAAGGGGCTCTGCTGGGAGCCAATGGACGCCGTTGATGAATTCGGCACGTCACTGTTGTAGTTGCATCTAATGACACCGGTGTTGTACCTTCTTGGTTGCCAGTGTTTCTGTGCGTTCCTCTTCGCCAGCAGGTTGAAACAGGTCTTGCGCAAACGGAGGTTGTTTCCGGTGACTAAATGACTGCGGCCGAGAACGTACCCCCTACTCCGCACTTATGTAGGTCACAAGGGATCTTCAAGAAACACTCTTGAGTGAGCCCTTCAGTAACCCGTGCCGTGTTTTTCTAATCGTAAACTTTTACGAAGTCGTAGTAGCACAGTGACACCATGTCAAACTCTCGCGGCAACCCTCTTCCCAACCATTATATAGGAAAGCCCTTACTAAGTAACCCTGAGCCGAGGTTCAGATTGTTGCTGCGTCCATCCTCCCGACGAGCAAAAGCGACAGTGACTCGGCCGGCCGGATCGGTCGAGCTCTGCCCCACAACCGTCCCAAGCACGTTCTGCTTTACCTCAGAAAAACGAAGAGCGTCGGAACCGTCAGAATCATACTGAACTGTAAGAACCGAGAAAAAACTACCCGACTTCTGGGTCTTGGAGAACTGAGTTACTACGACGATGCCCTTGACTCGCAGGTCCTTGGCAGCTAGTACAGTCTCTCCGCGTCGAAAGCCTCCGGCTATCATAAGCCGCACATCGTCGGAATGTGCCTCTCGCTCAGGCGGTGTGCCCGTGGGTGATGCGGAATCCCAACGGACAACTATTCTGGCCAAGGGTTCATCGATGGCAGGCCCAACAACAGTACCCACAGATCCTGTCGGAACAGGCGCGAAGCCATCATAGCTGATGGGACGCACCGCCTGAACGCGAGCCCCAACCTCCAAGCCACCCGCAAGATACAGTTTGATCTCGTTGACAACACAGTTCAAGCGGTTGCGGCTGCCATCTTCTCTGTGGCTAAAGGAAACCGTAACACGGTGCTGCGAGTCCGATGTGCTCGGTCCCACCACAGTTCCAAGCACTCCTTCCCGCACCACCACTTGCCCACCTACCCGGAGGTCCCTCGTCGCAACGATGGCGTTGCCACGGCGGAAATTGCCGGGAATGTTGGTCTCGATGTCCACTGGATCGCAGGCGACCTCCTCCTGACAGCAGTCGGGGGGAAGTGCACGGCAGCAAAAAGCAGCAGAAACCAGAGCACAAGCTATAGCAGTAGCAGTACCGGCAGCAAGGGCAGTTGCAGTTGCATCGGCGGTAAGTGGGTAGCATGGGCATCAGCAGCGAGAGGCAAAAAAGCCACGGCAGGGGCCCCAAGAACAAGGCACAAGGCCTGAACTCTAGAAAGTCTGCAGTGACCCCTAAACCCTGAACCCACTGCAAACCCCAAACCCCCACACCCCAAGCCCTTGCTGTGCAAACCCCAAACCCTAACCCTCAACACTAATTTAAACGGTTTAGGGTTTAGGGTTGAGGGTTTAGGGTGTAAGGTTTAGGGTTTAGGGTGTAGGGTTTAGGGTTTAGGGTTTTGCAGCCAGGGGGCGACATGCTCATGGCCATGGAGCGCAAAGCGCACCAGCAGGCGCTGGAACTGTGAGTCGCGTGCCGGGCCCACGACGACGCCTGAAGTCCCTGCAGGGATCACCTGTGCAGCATATGGGGTTTTATGTAGGATCTATACGGGTACTATTATAATGTCAGACCTGATTAGGATAGGGAGTGTGGCCTGGAAAATGAATATACTCATACTCATGCCCAGAATGAATTACTATTACTAATACTCATGCAAGACCAATACTAGCACTGATACCAAGAAGTCGAGCTTAACAGAATGGCTTCGGGTTTCCTGTTGAGAACATGATGTCAAGCTCTCGAGTTCACAGGCGCTGCAGGGAGGCCAGGCATAACGGATGAGCTTCACTGGAGATGGGAAGGCGATGAACTGATGAACTTCAGTTGCGATGGTTTCAATCCTCGACTCCTAGAAAGACCGCTTAAAAGGACTGCCGTTGAGTTGGCTAAATGTTGAACCTGGCCGAGTCGCCACCCTGCTCGGCGCATCTAAGGCTTTGTTGCAGCGGACTCGGGTCCCAGCCAGGTAACCTCCCGCCAGCGTGTGCCTGAACGAGGGTGAGGGTGTAATGTAGGGGTCTTAATAAGTAGAATACCATTATACTATAATTATGATCAGAAACTCCCAGAATAGTATTGGCAAACATCTAGGTCCCCATAATCGAGACTGCCCCCCACCCCCCCGCAACTGCTCCACCAGCACGTGTCGCCCTGGCTCTGCCAAAACTTTCCGATGCCCCGAAAACTAACGTACTCATTCTAAAAACACAATCGCGGTTGGCAGCATAACGGAAACAAATGTACCATGATATGCACTGTGACATATACTGTCATCGAACATCGACAACCACGTCCACTGGACTTCTGGAAGACAAACCCCCCAAGCCTCGTCTCTGGAAGGCTCTAAATCCCAAGACTCTTCAGCCTTAGGGGTTGAACCTCAGGGCCCAAACTCAAAGCCTAAAAGTCTTGACCCAAAGCTCCAAATATCCATCTATAAGAGCAAATGCACAGAAGCCTAAGCCCCAAGCTCTCCCCCGGAACAGGCCTGAGCTCATCTGGCAGACAGTTGAGGCGGTTGTCGCTTTGGTCTTCCCGCTGCTCGAACTGTACGCAGATTCGCCCCGAGGACGAAGCCGGTCCAACCACATATCCACTACCTTCCATACTTAAAGGATCATGGGACTTAGTAACTAGGGTTATAATTAGGGTAGCTATACTTATAACCCCACTTAAGGTACTTATAAGCTTACTTACTAAGTCCCATGATCCTCCAAGTAAGGCCCCTTTTTCTTCGTTAGGGTTTAGCATGTTTAGGGCTTAGGATGTGGAGGACCCGTTCTAAGATAAGGAAGGAATACAATGCTTTGCTACTCAGATGTTCGTATTGCTCTTCCAGGGTTCTAGCAGGTTTACAACGGCTCCATTTCCAAGCAGAAGGATCCCGTTCCGAGGAGCACGATTACAAGTGAAGGAACATGCTGTGAAGGCCTGGGCTAGCCCACGACAGCATGAAACTCAAGACTCAACGAATGCGTTTCAATTGCGGCGTTACCCTTACCCGTTAAAGGAGCCGCATGTGTCTGTATTTGCGTGCCACACGGATGCACAGATCCCGATACCCGGATACATACATACATACGAACAAAATACATACACTACACACACATATGTGCATGTACAGGTATATACACAGATACAGAAACAGATACAAATACATCAAATATGGATACATATACACACAGTTTTACATACATACATACATATGTCACACATACACATACACATGTAGTTCTATTGGATACTCACTCTGTAAGAACATCAAGCTCTGCACACGCACGCACAGACACATGTCTGCATATGCTATACACTACTGGATACACATACTAAAACCCGTACAACAGAATTTGGAGGAACTTTACGCTTCAGAAGCCGCGCCTCCTTGTCGAACTACTACTTTGCCGCGGACACGGAGGTCGCGTGCTGCGACCACGGTGTCACCACAAACAAAGCCACAGACGTCGGAAGAGGTGACCTCAGATACATCCTGAATCCTTTAAGGATACATCCTACAGCCCAACTCTACACCCGAAGCCCTAAACCACTCAAAAGACCAAACTCGAAATCATTCAATCCAAACCCTGAAAATCTCCCCGGTGTAGGCTCTAGAAGCAAACATTAAGCCGGAAACCCATGCCACCCTGCTTCCAAACCCAAAGATCTCACACACCGAGGAGCATCTGCGGTTTCTGAATTGACTACAGTGGTTGAGTCGGCTGGGACTGCCTTCGGAGGCATTGCCCTGGGCAGTGCCCTCTTCCTATGGTGTGCTTCATCGATTCCTTGAGCCACAGCACAGAAATATCACACACCGGTGTTGAAGTGTGTCCAGATGCCTTCGCACACACGTCCACACATGTGCATGAATTCACATGGGCCTTCTATACATCAAGTCTAGGCACGGATGTACATGGGTACATACGTACCAGATCAGTGGACAAGTATACGTGCGTGCGAGTCGGTACATACAGTACGTATACACGCACATGTGCAGGGTCACGCAGCTGGACCTGTATGCATGTTGGCATGTTCCGGAACATGCCAGCATGTGCACACATCGAGTTGCCAGGGGAGTCTCAATGCTCTTACTGGCCCAGGAGCAGGCGACCACATAAAGCAAAGAGCTCACAGATAGGTCGGCCATAATTTTCAAGGGTAGATATAGGATCCCCATATTCATGGCCCCTAGATTTGGAAGTTTCCGAAAATTAGAGGTACCCTATTTTAGGGTCTTGTAATAAGGATCCTACTATTTGGGGTATTATACAAGGGTCCTCTATTTTCGGAAACTCCCGTATTGCCGCAAGCTTATACTTTAACGAAGGTCCTCAAGCGAAGTTGATGAAGAGTTGCGTCCACCAGCGTAAGAATCCTACTGTTTGGGTGTCATGTCTGATGGGATCGAATCTGGGAGGCAGGCTCAAGCCACTCGTCGGTGGACCTGGACTCACCCGGCGCACATCACACTCCGAAGTGGAGAGGCCCTATCACTGAGGCTGGTCCGCGACCCAAACGAAACTGGTGCCACAATAAACTGACGTATCGAAGACTGCAGGAGTAGAGTCAACCCTAAACCCTAAACCGTTAAGTAGAGAAGCCTCGAATCACCAGTCAAGTTTTGGAAACCGCTGACAGCCGCGAAACCTTTCTTCAAGTCTCAAGCATGAACGGGGGCCCCTGCGTGCGCCGGCAGTGGGGCTGCGGCTGAGTTCCACGGAGCCAACCTCGAGAGAAGCCAAACTTCTGCTTGAAGTGATCTCATGATTCTTCAGTTTCGAAAGCGCATAACACCTGCTCGTAGAAGCAGCCTTGGCAATGCTGCTACTGGACCCTTAAACTCTCAACCCAGCGTTTCTGAAGCCACAGCAAAGCAGGCTCCCCGACGCAATCCTGGAACTTAGTCTTAGATCTACTTCCCGGAACTCTGACGCCAAAGTTCAGGCTTCGGACTGCTTCGGATGAGAGGAGCTGTCCTACTCTATACTGTGACTATCAGGGTTGCAGGATCCAACTACTACGACACTTGCTGCTGCTGCTGCTGCTACTACTACTACTTCTACTACTACTACTACTACTACTTCTACTACTACTACTACTACCACTACCACTACCACTACCACTACCACTACCACTACAACTACCACTACCACTACTACTACTACTACTACTACTACTACTACTACTACTACTACTACTACTACTACTACTACTACTACTACTACTACTACTACTACTACTACTACTACTACTACTACTACTACTACTACTACTACTACTAGTACGACCACTACGACAAATAATGATGATACGAACGACTGTGCTACAGCTTCTTCTTGTGCTGCACCGGCCTCCCAGTCATTCTCCTACTCACCCCCCACTCCCACCACGACTACGGCTGCTGATAGGGAAAAACTCTAGCTGAGCAGGGACAAGGTGTTGCCCGGGAATAGACCCTAAACTCTTCCCCAATGCGACCCAACCTTCAAGCGTAGCATCGCGGCGTTTTAGCTCCAAACCCAAGACCGACACCCAAACTGTAGGATTATTACGCTGGTGGACACAACTCTTCATCAACTTCGCTTGAGGACCTTCGTTAAAGTATAAGCTTGCGGCAATACGGGAGTTTCCGAAAATAAGGGACCCCAATATAGCACCCTAAATAGTAGGATCCTTGTTATAAAGGACTCCCAAAATGAGGTACCCCTTCTCTTCGGAAACTTCTACTGGCATACTTCTTGATATGGGAACAGAAAGCTTTGTCTGGCAGCCGTAGTGAGGTGGAGTCGCTCCCCAAACCACCAACCCAAACGACGTGCCTCCGGTGGTAAACGCTCAAGCCCTTAGCAGTGCTAAGGCTTGGGTTCATTCGGGCTGGGGCTTTACGGTTCAGAGATTTGGGCTCCGAGATCGGAGTTTTAAGGCTTTGAGATTTACAGCTTATTGGGCTTTTAGGTTTCCGGATTCAGGGCTCATTGGGGTGTGGGCTTTGGGTTGAAATCGAAAGTTTGAGGTCTCTAGGTTTGAGTTCGAAGGCCTGCATTTTGCCGCGATGGCTCGGTGGACTCATGGGGGTTTGCTGCATTGGAGGCGCATGCTTCAGGAGTTTACTAGGTGATAAGGGTGGTCTCGTTCGGGTTAGAAGGGTTAGGGCGTCGGGTTCTTGGAGCATTGAGTTACTTGTAGCCCGCAGTAAGGGTTCAGGACCTCAGACACACAGAGACAAAATCCAGAGGACGTGACGGCCACAAAATCAGAGTCTCAAATCTACCGCGCAGAGCCTAGTTTCAGAGTTCAGGCGTTAAGTTTGTATGGTTCAGGTTTAGGGTGTAGGGTTGAGGGTTCTCCGGTTTAGGCTACGGCTAAGGTTTGGGGAGGTCCTATCACTATGGGTTGCTCCGAGCAGCAGTCCTTTTAAGGGGTCTTTCTAGGAGTCGAGGATTGAAACCATGGCAAACTCATGTCGAAGGAGCTCAGACATCTTTAAAGAAACGTTTGGAATCGTCTGAGGTGCGCTCCAAAGCTCAGTCCAGACCTCAGTTGAGAATGAGCTTCGGCTTTTGGCGTGCGTGGTTTCAGCATGGATGACTCGTCAGGTCCAAGAATATCTCTAGAAATGTCAATGTTTTTTGTACGAACCCATCTCTCTCTTTCTCTCTCCCAGGCACTGGCTGTGCTTTCCGAAACGAATCCCCAAACCCTAAATCCGAAACCCGAATCCAAAGTATTACGTCACATCCCAAATCTCTAAACCCTAACTCCCGAAGATCCCTTGAGAATTGGGGTGCCCACACAGAACTCGGTGGAGCCGCCTCCACAGCGCTCACTGCGAGAGCATCCTCGCAGAGCAAGGTTTGGTGCTGCGGTTTTTGTGGCTCGGTTCGGGCTTGAGGCCCTCAAGTTGAGGGCGTTCTGTTTAGGGTCTAGCGCCTCTATTGCTCAGGGTTGAGGGTTTAGGGCTACTGTTCAGGGAGTTTAGGGTTTAAGGTTTAGGGCCTATTGTTCAGGGTTTAGGGTTTAGGGTTACAGTTACTGCTTAGGGAGTTTAGGGTTCAAGGGCATTTTGACTCCAGGGTTTGGGGTTCATTAAGGTTTTGGGGCTTTTCTCTTGCCTCCTGCATTGCTGAGTGGCTTTGTGGCTTTAGGGCGTTGGGTTCCGAGTCTACGTCTCACAACTAGGACCAGACTCGACATCACAGATGAGGCCTCTTGGTTTGGGGCTACTTATTATGAGAGATAAGCACAGCTACATCCAACAGGGAAAAGGGTGTAGGCCTCAACTCTTGTTATGGTGGCCCTTCCGCGGCAAGCCGGAACTGAAACTCTAACAATGCAAAGATCGTAGCATCCGCCTAAGGACTAGCCCTACCACCTAAACGAGAAACATAAAAATCCAAATCCGAAGTCCCTCCGCCCCTTACACCATGAAGATACCCCGCCACCCGGCGGTCACTCCTCCCTGTCCATTCCCAATGCTGTTGTAACCCTAATATACCCTGAACCCTAAACCCCTATAAGCCCATCCGAACATGGACGGTCCTTCCCGCCATGGGCGGGAGAGCCTCCTCCTGGCGACTGTCAGACTGAACTACTGGCCATTGGCTATTCCTTCGGACTCAGATTTCAAAGGAGTTCACGAAGATCGCAATATGAAAGTAGGAATTTTCCTAATACTAAAAAATATGTGTATATATATATATACATATATGATATACATACTAAAAAATATGTTTTTTTGTATATATATATCTTTGTATATGATAGCACATCAAGGGCCTCCGTGTCGCTGGAAAAACACCTCACAGGCCCAGCTACGTCACAGAGGCGCAGTTCCAAATCACCCAGGCCTTCTTCAGCTTTCGTTGTGGGCTTCCCAGACGCTGAACCCTTGAACCCTTCTTGAAGGTTCATGGGTAGTTATAATTAAGTAGGGTTATAAGTAGGGTAGCTATACTTCTAACCCAGATTGGGGGACTTATAACCCCACTTATAACTACACTAAACCCTAAATCCCTATAGAGCCCTTTATAGGGACCCTTAAAGGAGCCCCTATAACCCCACTTATAGCTACCCATGAACCTCCAAGTATGTACACCCTGGATCCTCTAACCCGGCCCTGAATCTGAAAACTGAAATTCTGAGGCCACGAGACGAGCCTCCGAGGTCGACGATGGACCACGGTTTAGGGTTTAGGGTTTAGGATGTCTCATTACTTACCTTTGGTTAGTAGGGAATGGAAGAATGGTAGTAATAGTAGATATAATTATAATTGTACCCCCTTCCTCCATTCCATACTAACCAAAGGTAAGAATAGAACCGACCTATGCCTGAACCGATACACATCCACGCGAAGATGTCTAAAAAAACATATATCCGTATGTGTCAGATGCAGGCATGCATGCTGCCATTGATGAAAGCAGGTGTGCATGCATGTAAGCATGCAGGCATGCATGCATGTATGTATGTATGTGGGTATGCGGCAATGTCATGCTGGATGCATGTGAAATGTGAATGTAAGCATGCATTCGCGCGTGTGTGTGTATGTATGTACATGTGAATGTACTTCATGCCTGTGAGTGCGTGCGCATGTATGCATGTACCTGTGAGTCTGGATTGCCCTGAAACCTCACGAGCCTGGCAACGTCGCCGTCGGTGGCAGGCCTACCACGCCAAGCTTTCTTGGAGCTTCGCTGCCAGAAGTCTGAGCTCTTGGGCTAACGGCTTCGGACTCTCATGTCCCGACTCTCCGCTAGGGCCCTCTAGCTGAGGACTCCAACCTGCAAGCTGCTGGTTTGTACCCTAACTTACTCTGATCTACGCATATCTCAGCATCCGAATTTCCATCGGGCTGGGAATGGCTTTTTTCCGAAACATAGTACCAGAAGCGAGAGGGTTCATCATTCAATGGGGAAAAGGAGGGACCCTCCTCAATGGGGACCTACCCTATAATTGGGCTATATAATGGGTATGTAATCGCTATATTAAGGGTATATACCTAGGGGTCCTTATTAAGGGTCCCTCCTTTTACCCTTTGAATCATTTCCTCGGGAAGGTCTCGGGTCACTGAAGGTAGAAGTTAGACAAATCTCGAAGACCAGCCCCTGATGCGAGGTCTCTTCGAGATTGTGGTCTCTCCTGGGCCCTTTTGGAGTCCCTGCTAGGCATACCTCACCCCCATAATTAGACCAATGCCCTGTTTGGCCGCTTGTCAGAAGGGCAGATAAGGGAGTTTCCGACAATAGAGGACACAGACAAGTAGTACAGCGAAAATACTGTATAAGAACCCACTGTTTAAGAACCTGAGCCCCTACCCAGGCGGAATTCACCAGATTCAAGTTGCTTCAATGTTGAGAACCTTGGCGTGCCCTAGGTTTTTGGGTCAGGCTCTTAGTTTTTGGGGTGCTTTCCCTCACCAAGGAAATTTAGAATTGAAAACTAAACTTTCCAGACCCCCATCGCCCAGCCCTCAGTCAAGGTATCAATCGCGGATAAGAACGTGGTTAAGAACCTGAGCCTACCCTAGCTGCTCGACCGGCAAAATCACATGTAATGGAAATTAAGAACCTTGGGGTGGGCTACTCTCGCCGAACGGGGTTCTTATACAAGGTTTTCACTGTAGGATCCGAAGAATAAGGACCCCAAAATAAGGTACCCTAAACCCTAAACCCTATAGAACCCTTAAAGGAATCCTTAAAGGAATCCTTAAAGGAATCCTTAAAGGAACCCTAGGACCCCAAAATACGGTACCCCTAAGTCCTAAATGTCGGAAACTCCCATATGTTTCGGCCGGCCTGCCGCGCTGCCAAAGACGTTCGACCTCAAAGCCGAAAGTAAGTTGATCTCAAGATCAGGGCTGGGGTGTACCTATAGTCTCCATTGTAGTTCCTTTTGTGGGTTAACCAATTTTATGGTTAGGATCCTATAGTGGAGCTGTTGGTTAGCCAAAACAAGGAACTACAATGGAGACTATAGGTAGGAACTCGGCGCTCACACTCGGACAATCCAGGCGAGGCATATGGTTCGGAGTCTGTTGAGTGAGACTGCACTAGGAGGCATCGTCACGACAGCATCAACAAATCTATATCAACACATAACGTAACTGTGCCCGAAGACGTGCCCTCCCCTCGAAATCCCAGTAGCTCAAATCAGCAAGTAACATGGGACCTCGAGGCTGAGAAAGCAAATGCAGATCGTATAGGTAGGGTTTAGGGTGTTTAGGGGTTTAGGGGTTAGGGGTTTACGGGATATTTTCTCTCCTGCTTAGCAGGGACGAAGCCCGCATTGCAGGGTAACTTCGAAGTGGGTTTAGGCTTTGGGCTTTAGGGCTGTCGGGGGTTAGGGGTCTAGCGTTTAGGGGTCTAGCGTTTAGGGTGGAGTTTAGGGCTTTAGGGCAAGTCTTGCATGTGGTTGGCGTGTGGCTGGCTTTGGGTTTAAACTTTTCTCATTACGGGATGGTAACACTGAGAACCACGTCCAAATAATGAAAGATACCACGAGGCCTGTCTGGGCTTGGGTTCAGAACTCAACCTCTAGCAGCAGCTCGATACGATGCCGCGCTTATGTCCACACATTCCGTGGCCTGTAGGCTGGGGGCTAGCCAAAATCGTCATGAACAGGTTTCGGGGTTTGGGGTTCAGGGCCAGTACCTCTGACGCACACCGAAATCTGTCCTTCGGCCTAGGGTGCAAAGAGGGCGAACTCTAAAGCCTAAGTAGTTTACAGGGTGTGGATAAACTTCAGCACCCTGAAACCCCGCTGGGGAGCACGCTGCCGGAACGACATGTTCTGCGTGTACTCATAGTCTGACCTGCAGATGAGCCAATGAACACGCCGTTCCGAGAGGTGGCAATGGCTCGGGGTTTCCTTGGAGGTTCGTGGGTAGTTATAAGTGGGGTTTTAAGTCCCCCAATATGGGTTATAAGTTAGAAGTATAGTTACCCTACTTATAACTACCCATGAACTTCCAAGTAAGAAGTAGGGGGCCAGGGTCGGATCTGAGAGATGGTCTTTTTGTCTTTCAGTGTCTCCACATGTCAACATGAATCCTACCTTTCAGAAGACTCTTTCAGAGGCTCAAGAAAACGATGGGGGGCATTGGACACTAAGTTCTTCGGTGTCCGAAACGTGCCAATAAGGAGCCGCTCCACAGCTGCGATTCGGAAAGAGCCAGGGAGTACGCCCTCCCAGATTTCAGCTCTTGTCAAGAGATGGCCCCGGGGCCAGTAAGCGGAAGGGCGGAAAATTGTGCTGGCGACAAGTGCTCCGCACTCGCACGCCTAAGTCGCCCTCTTCGCTTGCCTGTCCGGCGGTGGTGCTGCACAGCTGCGTATTCAGCCCGTGCTGCATCTCAGGTGACCTCGGGAAAAGAGCAAAGCGCCTCCGTCGCATTGCTGACCGCACGCCATGTGATGCAATTAAGTTCACCCTGCCCATGCAAGAACCTGGTCTGGCTGCCAAGCCAAAACCTTTGTTTCACCTCCTGCTCTCCGCTGTACCATATGAGTTGATACCATGTTCTGCTGTGAGCCTATCCGATCCACATGGAACGAACGACCACTGGGGCTAAGGCGATGAGGGTCTATGCGCCAGGCGCAGAAGCCCCCCAAGCTTTGGCGCCGCCCTGTGGAGCACAAACAGCGCACGGGGAAAAAAGGACACTACATGAGCTCATATGGAAGTTTCCAGAATAGGGGACCCTAATATAGCATCCTGAATAGTAGGATCCTTGTTATAAGGACCCCAAAATAAGGTACCCCTAAATGTCGGAAACGCCCATATTTCCCCAGCTTCCGAGAGGCTCAGGGGAGTTGTTTGAACCTTGGGGGGCGCCCTGGGGCTGCATGGTTCATCGTGTGGCCGCCCCGATTGCGAGCATCTCTGCATGGACTGCAACTTAGCGATCGGGACGGCTGATGATATAAATCCTGCATTACCTTAAGGACCCTAAACGATGGGAGTTCATTATGGGTAATGCAGGATGTATATCATCAACCGGAGGATGAGAACGAGGCTTGTGGCAGATAGCCCACGACGGGAACACAGGGAATAGAAAGGAGCCAAGCTAAGAATTCAGGTGAAACCTACAGCGCCAAGTCGTGATGAGCCTCAGGCTCGTCCCTCCGACACCGGGATCTGGAATCCCAAACCTATTGCAACAACAACCCGTAAACCCTGCACTATCCCCCCACCCCCAGAACCCCAACCCCGACTACGGCCCCAACACCCCTACTTGGAGGTTCCTGGGTAGTTATAAGTAGGGTAACTATACTTATAACCCATATTGGGGTACTTGTAACCCCACTCATAACTACCCATGAACCTCCAAGTACTGGGCCCTTGACCCCTGCGCCTGCGAGCGCTGGGCGCCGCGGGCAGCGACGGTCACGGGACTGTCGGCCCGGACTTGCTGAGCCTGGCAAAGGGTGCTTTCAAACATTACCTACCTCTCTCTCTCTCTCTCTCTCTCTCTCTCTCTGCCATGCCATCATCAAACATCACCTATTATTTAGTATTTTCTGAACATACATAGAGTATGCACATATATATATATATATATATGTGTACGAAAAATATAACTATACGACTTAGAAGGGCTATGTGAGAAATAGAAGACGGACAGTAACAGTGGTGATATGAATTGCCTTAAGAACGTGTACTCTCAGAAAATACTCATTACTCATGATGCAGCAGATGAGCACGATGATGCTGATGATGACAGCAGCGAGACAGAATGATTGGTGCCCCAAGAGTCGAGAACCTCGACTTGATTTGAAGTGTTAGTACATCCGGAGCCTCCTCCATCGCGCCAACCAGCTCACTCTGCTGCATGGACACCTCAACTTCCATGAAGATGCTGCACCCATTTCGGGATCCCGTCAAAGTACCCGTACGTGACAATCCCTGACGCAAAGCAATGATAGCCAAGACTTGGGACGATTTGGGCTCTCATCAGCATCCCAACATGACAACTTAAAGGATCATGGGACTTAGTAAGTAGGGTTACAAGTAGGTTATAATTAGGATAACCCCGTTTAGGGGACTTAGAACCCAGTTATAACCTACTTACTAAGTCCCATGATCCTCTAAGAACCCCTTCCATGTGCCAACCCTGCTGAGCGGGTCACTGGCGCTACTTGCCAGAATAGGTTGACGGATGCATCCCAGTCCTGCATGAGACATTGGATAGCACGCAGAATCATGGACTCCTCATAATGCCGCATAATAAAGATAATTAGTAAGAGCGAATTGTTGTAGCTCATGTACGCCTGTAGCTTCTGTATGCATCATGCTGCGCAGGCTTGTTGAGAAATGCCAAGCCTAGGTCTGCCTTGACGCTATTTGTTGTAGTCATGTGCTTCCACCATAAGTGGACCATAAGTGCAATACGTGCTGACCGTAGACGGTTGTTGCAGATCCGAGTCTCTAGCTTTACTGATATTTCCCTGATGCTGCGCAAGTCAGGTGAGTGAAGAAGAATGAGGAGATGGACCAGGAATGCAGAAGGTTCAGGAATGCTTCGGGAGTAGGACTATCAACCCCAAGACCTGAACCGCGAACACAAGACTGTAGCCGTAGCCGTCTAAACTCTACACAAACCCCAAGACTGGCCTTCAGGTCACACTGAACAGCCCCCTGCATAGCGTAGCGTAGCCAAAACCCTGCAGAGTGCATGACGCCAGCAATTTGTTCACCTGGGCCTGTCTGTCTCCGTCTGCAGTGCACCGTGCAGACAGAAAAGTGGTTTTACGCCAGCCGCCCCTAAAGCACAGCAGCCGCGTGTTGCTACAGATAAGACTCTCTTGCATCACGGTATCGCCTACATAACGCATGAGTACAGAAGTTGCTGGATCTAAACTCGCCACGGTTATGGTAAGCTGTCTTAACTGCCCGAACAGCCGTATCATTATCTTCGACATGTATGACTTGCGACGCTTCTGGCCGCAAACTCGGTCTGCTGCTATTGCCGGGCCTTTGCCGGAACTACTATAAAATATACTATACGGATATTATAATATACTATAAAAACTGTAAGGATACTATAAGGATACCTCCAGGCGTGCACCAGCTTGCTGTTGCTGTCCCTTGCCTGCTCTCCTACCTCAGGGGAGCCCTCGACTTTAGAAGATGGCTAGGAAGTTCGCGTGTGGCAAAGACTCTTTGGCTGGGATCGGTGCAGCCCACTTGCCATCATCACCTTCGCAACAGTATGTATCTATATATATATATATATTGATTGAAAGCGTAAACACACACTGCATATATAAATAAATATACACACTGAATAATGTCTGTGTGTATAAACATACTATATACATGTGTCATCGCCGTCTGCCACGTCTGTGTACTATACTTTCTTGCAGCATGATGTCTCACTTCCGTCTTTGTGTACATATTTAGCTGCTGACCGCGCGACGGTTGTTTCAGGACTCTTGCTGCAGAGTAGATAATTACTTATAAGATTATACTACATTGCAGGAATATATGCCTACATATACATATATGTGTACGTATGCCAGAGCAAAGAAGAAGGGTCCCAGGCCGCCAGCAATCGTAACATCACATACGCCTTAAACCGGCAACTCAATTAACAGTAGCCCCCATATACCATCTAAGCGTCTGTGCGCTGTGAGGAGCACCTCCCCAAAGCCATGCTCTATAAGCAGGCTCCGCGCTGCTGCAAAGGGAGCCTTGGGACCAGCTTTAGGGTTCCGGTTTGGGGCGCAGGGAGGCCAGTGGAGGAGAAGGCGTACTTAAGAGTCATGGGGATTCCGGGATTGCCATCGATTATTATTATTACGAATACTATTGTTACTATTAGTATTCTTATTATTACTATTCTTCTTCTTCTTCTCAGCGCGAGCCTCGCGCCGCTAAGTAGCCTCTGCATTGGCTTCAATGAACCTCTAAACCCCCGAAAATCATCAAAACTCCATGGGAGAAGTGGGCCCAAGAGGCGTGCGCAAGGCCATAGTTATCCACTTGGAGTATGGCAGACGCCCCAGGTCGTCCCTCCTGGTTTTGGAAAGTCGCAACATAGAAGGCATAGGGTTTGAGTTTGGTGTTTGGTTGTGGAACTCAGGACTTGTGTGCTAAGGGTTTAAGGATTTACGGCTCTAGAGCTGCTCTGCTACGCTCTCATACTCGGATTCACAGAGATCACAGAGGCTCAGGCCGACGACACCTAGCGCAGATGCATGACCCTGCCCTCGAACATCAACGACCGTCAGCTTGCTCCTGCTTCTGCTCCTGCTAACCGCCTGCACTCCCAACCCCAGGACCTGCTAAACGTGCACGTACCAAAGGGATTCAAGAGGCGGGCGTAAGGCTATGTGAAACTGGCGAGACAGCCGACAGGGATGCTTAGGTTCATGTCAGTGCACCCAGCACTTGACGACCACTCTCCAGCCACTGTCACCAAGATCCCTCAGCATCTTTCCCCAAGGTTCTATATAAACCCTAGTTTAAGCCCCACATCTCAAACCCCAAACGTGGACCCTAAAGATCAACCCAAGGCCTTAGCAGTTCACAGTTTCATGTTTGTTGGTGGGCTCTTCCTTGCGTCAGCCTCTTAACATCCCAAAGACCTTTACAGGCGGAACCGCTGGAAGGAGAGTTGAGGCTTCAAGTATTGGAAACAAAGTTCCCCTCCAACTAACTATACACGAATATCGGCTCAAAATACCCCGAGACTCGTGATAGGACAGCTTAGGGTCTATCTTTCCCACGAACTCTGCGAAACCCTCAGACAGGCTCGAATCCCGGACTTGGAGCTTCATTTTTTGGTGCTATGCGCATGGGAAGAACGGAATCCGAGCCTCACCGTGGTATGGCGCTTTCAGAAAATCAGGGCCCCTCCCTTCACAGTGAACTTCTTGCCGTGATACGTTTGAAGGGGGCCCCCACCCTGTAATAGTGACTATAAGGGTTATATTAGGGCCGTATTATATTCCTATTATACCACTATTACAGGGTGGGGGCCCCTTCTAAGTAATACGTGGGGTCCATGTGTCAGGGTTCGGGCTGTTCTGAAACTCCCCTTTGCATAAGCAGACATGGGCCCAAACCCATTTGGCAACTTTGACGATTCTGGTTTCTAGGGTGGCGCCGATGCCAGCTGGAAACGAGAACACACGCTGGAATCCACAATAAAAATAGCAATAATACTGATAGTAATAATAGTAATAATAGTAATGCTAGTAATAATGGCAATAGTAATAATAGTAGCAATAGCAATAGTAATAAGAGGAATAACTTCCAGCCTTGCGTGCCCGGACAAGCTCCGGCAGAAGCAGGGACACTGCATCCACGGTGCAGCCGTACTCGATGCCTTTGAGCTCCTGCTCTGGGTTTCGGCAAGTCTGAATGGCATCTTTGAAGCGATATGTGACACATGCGATTCGCGTGCCTAGTCTTTGTTTCAGTGTACTAGTGATGGTAACGGCATCCGTGCAGCAGCAGCAGCAGCAGCCGAAGCAACAACAGCAGCGTGATGTCTATGTTCTGCGGGAGAATACAGCGTGTCAAAGTAGACACTGCTTCGGTCACTGCATAATGCATTCTTGTTTGTTCAAAGCGACAGTACATGCTTGCTCAACCTTCCTTCCCTCACGTTCTCGCTTTAGCAATGATGCACCAGCATCTAAAACCGCAAGTATTCCAAAAACAGCTGACGCACTAGAACTATCATCTAGGTTTGTATATAAATAGATATGTATGTATATATGCATGTCTCTATACCTGTATACATGCACCTCATGCGTTGCAGAAACCTATCCCATCGGATGCATGCTAACGCCGGCGGAGTGCATTCACGTAGCAGGTACTCTGACTCATGTGTGCTTCGTGATCTCAACAGTTCCTACACAGTAGAAACCAGAAAGCTGGAACATCAGTGAAATCAGTCAAGCCTTTGAGTAAAGTACGATATAAGGAATACCAAGTGAAGACCATCAATCATTATCCTCTTGGAGTTTGCTGTAGACACACACACATACACGGATCAGGAGACACAGCACCAAAAGACAAGGCGAACAAAGATTGGGAGGTCATGCGGTTGTGTTTCTGCCCTGCCATGCAATGCCATTTTGATTGCATCAGTTTCCATCGTACGTAGCACGGCGTGGAACTGAATGGTGATTACGTTGCCAGGTCACTGCCGCCGTGCAGATTCTACCATCCTCGAAGCTGGCAGCGGCAGCAAAGGCCTTTTCTCGTCTGTCATGGTCATGTGGTTGTGTGTGTGTAGTAATCCCTCACCACACACACAGATATACATATATATATATATATATATATGTATATGTACATACATATATATATATATATACACACTTATATATATATATATATATATACGTATATGTATATATGTATAACATGTTTGCACATGTATACACACATATACATACCTTACATTCCATCACATTGCACTACATTACATTACAATACTTGTCCCACACCACATAGCATACAACAGTAGAACGGATGGGAATATAAGTACAAGCATGCATGCATGCATGCTGCATACATTACATGCATACACATACACACATATACATATGTATATATATATATAGTTATGTATAGATACAGTTACTGCATCTGCGCATGTACATACATGTCACCGCCATATCTACATGTAACTATTCATATGTGCGTGTGTGCGCGTGTGAATGTATGTCGGTCCCGCAGACTCCTGGTTTGCATGACTGCCACTGCCCCACAGAAGCTCACAACGTCAGGGACCACACATGCAAAACCCTCCGACAACAAGAAACCCCAACCTTAAGCCTACACTACACCTGCCACTGCAGGCGATATCGCAGATAACGTAACTCATCTCTCAGCCGAAACCTACTTGTACACCTCCCAAAAATCTTAAACTCGAATCATCTCTAATCCCCGAAGCCTCCAAACCCGTTGAGCCCCGAAATAAAGGATTTCACAACATGAACCCTCTATGGTGATCCTAACACCTACAATGAGCCAGTTGTTAAACAATCCTTTGTTTGGCCTGACCCTACCTTCATAAATAAGTATAAACCTCAACACCCAAAGTACGTCAAACCGCACAGTACTCTTAATAGATGCCTTGTAGCACCATCAAAACAACCCGCACAGTAACCCAGCAGTAAATGCTAAGTCATGGCGAAGGGCCAGGGGATAG